TCCCAGACCCCTAGTTTCACACCATAAAACTGCACTGGTTTAGCAGAACAAGAGGCTTATGCCAATGACTCAGGCTCCGGTAACAGGATATGGTAGAACTTACTAGCACTGTAGTAAGGATCGTGCGAATTTCGGTGCCACACAGGCAATCTGCGTGTCCAATGATCTGACGACCCAGATTTAATTCCCCGTGCATGAACGACTAAGATGCATTCTTTAGGCACGATTGGACGGACAAGATTAATCGCGATGAATGTCCAGATTCATCCACGTAATAGGCTTAAAAAAACAACGACCGGACGACTTTTCTCGCTCTACGTCAACATGAATGAACGGCCTACATTGACGCGAGATAAGTATATAAGCATTGCGTTGCATTGGAACCCTTACCCTAGCCGCACCTGTCCTCGTCAGAGAGGAAGGACCACTCGCTAGAGAAGGAGACTAACCCCCGGCCGCCGCACCACCAGAGCCATTAGCTACTGCCAAAAAAGGAAAAATTCTCCCCTACCTGTTCGAAATTCGATTATAAGTTTTCATGTAGCCATATCAGAGCAAAATGGACGATGGATGAGCCAAAAATCGTGGGCAAAGCCTAGTAGAGCTGTCGTAGCTGAAACCCTAAAACCCCTCCGAAGAGCCCCTTCCCGTTTCCCGTTTCACACAATTTTCTGACATTGTGTTCATTGTCCCTTTTTGTACAAGTTAGCCGAAGAAGAAACTCTAGACGTGAAGGAGAACCGGTACAACTACTGCACCCGAAGACCCCCGTGTCAATAGGTTCGATTTTTTGTGATTTTCTGGCCAATCGAGGCCCCCTAACATGGTTTTTTTTTTATAGGAATATGTGTCAAAACCAACCAAACTGGCCAAGCTGAGGTGAACCACTGTCGTGGATGGCAGAGTTGGTGATTGAGCACGACGGCACTGCCGTGTCGGAACCTTAAAATTAGCCAGAAAGGGTTTTTAACACCGATTTTGGATTTTTAGGGTATTTTTAGGTACGTGACAAGTATTTTGGATTCTTGCAGAAAAAATTCAGGAAACTCAGTACCCGTTAGGAGGCGTAGTAGATAGCACAATATTTTAAAACAGCGATCTGGGTAAGAATCTCTCTCCCTATTCTTGGTTATTGTAAATTGAGGATTTATAATCGATAATTGTGTGCTTTGTGAAAAATTAAAAAAAAACCCTAAAAATATTATAGATCACTAGTGGAGTCGGAACCGGTTAGTTCACATTTGTCCTAATTCGCTATTTATTTTCTTGCACTGCCTATATTTGCTTACTATTATACTATGCGTAATTGAATTGATAGTTTTTATGGTCTTCTCTATTTTTTAGTTATTTAGTTCCTCCTGTATTATTTATTCGAGATTCTGGTTATTGGTTATTTGGCTATACTAAACTATATCGCTTGTTTAAGTGCTATTTTAATTATATATGGATATGAAATGAGATGTTTGTATGTTTTAGTGGTTGTTGGATGATGAGAGTCTAAAAAAAATGAAAACTTACTGGGTATCCTGGGAAATGGTGGACAGACACGGTATATAGGGAACCCTACTGTAGACATTATCTCAGTTGGACGGGTCTGTGAAGTCCCATACTGGAAGGATTTTGGGAGATATAGTTTATTCTCATACTGGACGAAATATCGAAGCAATGTTGTTTTTGGCGTCCATTACCGGACGGGGTATAAAAACGGCCAAGTTAATTGTTAAATCTTGATATTGAGTTCATAAGTAGAGGGATATTCCTATGAACCCGCATGGGTCCTAGTAAGTAGGTTAAAAAAGAAAGATTGTTGATCATATGCATGAAATTGAAATGTCGTTTAGTTAATTGTTTTCATAGATTGATTTTGAAAAAAAAATCATACGGGAAGTATTGAATAAAAAGTTTTAAAGTTAAATGTATTTACTTAAAATAAGGACTCTATTAGTTATTTTCTGATTTTTACCAAAATTTAGTTTCCTGTATAAGTGATTAGTGTGATATTCTTAATGGGTAAGTGTAGTTCACCTTTTCATTAATCATTTCAGATCAAGAATACCAAGATTTAAATCCCGATCAGTAAGAGGGTTGTGAGTAGTTCACATTCCAGACTCTCTCCAAGTGCTAATGAAGGTTGTCATATGATACTTATTTATTCGTTTTTTTTTTAATTATCGTTTGTCTTTATGAGGTACGTTTAATGGACATTCCCGTAACCTTATTGAGCAATTCAATTTTTTGTGTAAGAAATGTAAACTCTAACATTGTTATTCACTTCCATATTTAAATTATAAATTCATTTCTTTCAAAATTTCGAGTCTCTACAGGTAATGTATATTTTAATTAATAGTTAAAATTATTTGTAATCAAATTGGAAAAAATTATTAAGTGATTAGCCTCTTTAATTTGACAATTTCTTTTATTCTTAGAAAAGGAAAAAAGAATTTTCTTTTTTTGGGATTTTTTTTCTTCTTTTTGTGAAAAAAAAAACTGAATAACAATTCTGGATTTGCATTACGTATTCATATTTTAATTTCAATTCAATTCCCATGATTTTTTTAAAAAAAATTATTTGAAATATTGTATTTCACAAGTTATTTTAAACTTCAACTACTTTTTTTAGTTTCATAATTACTAATTATCATTTGATTTGATAATTTGTACTTCATTTCTTTTATAAGAAGTTGTATAATCGAATTGAATTATATTTTTTTTATATTTATAATAAAAAAATAGCATTATAATCGAAATATATGTATCACATAATTTATAAAATAAATAAATTTTCTCTAAAAAAAAGTTTCATGATTAATTTTTTTTTTTCTATCAAAAAACGATTTATGTTTCAAGATCTAAAAGTTGTTTTGTTCATATTTTGGGCTAATATTAGGATCCATTAACCCAAGCAACCCGGCCCATTCTAATTCGGACCTGAGTTTTCGTTTCCACTATCGGCAGTTGGGTCAACTCCGCCCATAAATTCGATCTTTCTAAATGGGTTAAACCGGCCCATTAAGGATACCCGAATAACCCGGGCCATTAAGGATACCAAGGTGGCCTCTCTGGATCGTTAATAACGAGAGGCACAAATGTGAACTGGCGATCTCTCCGATGCCTCTCTCTAATTGAGAAAGTTCATCTATTTGAAACTCTGTAAATGTGAAGTTCGTTTCCGATTTCTTCTTCTTTTTCCAGATTAAATTGTTTAGGTCTGTTCGTACAAAAATGGATTGTACGTTAAAGATGATATCGTCTATTGTGTTTCCTATCAATTCTTCATCGAAATTGAACTTTAGTAACCAAGTGCTCTGTTGGTCTCCAATTAATGGAAACGGGTCCGTAACGAAAATCTGTGCCGTCTCCAATGGCGCTGTTCCTAGCTCCGCTTCTCACGGGGTTAGTCTCTCTCTCTCTCTCTCTCTCTCTCTCTCTCTCTCTCTCCACACACACACACACACACACACACACACACACACACACAAACACTTGTATGTATGTATGTCCTAAGTTATTTAGAATTCTTCATCTTCGATGTTTACTTGTTTGTTTTTTCATTTAATTTTTTGGTTATTTATTTGGATACTTCTATGTTTAAGGAGATGTTTTATGAGCCTTAACATTTTGGGGCCTTGTTATGTGGAACTCCTTTTTCTTTTTGCTGATATTCAAATTAAGCAGAAAGTGTCATATGTTTGTAAAAGTATTATTTTGTGTAACTAGCTTTCATTTAATTATTACTGCAAGAAAAGCACTAGGGTGAACTCTAAAATTTACTGAGATAATAATGATTATAATGGAAGTGAATTCATCATTATATCAGTGTGGAAGACAAAATAATTTCTCGTGTTTACATCTTGATTTTGTTCAAAGATAAGGTGAAAGCATGATTACTCGGTATTTATTTCACTTGTAAGTGCCCCCAGGATATCGAGCAATTAAAATAAATTACAGGTTCCTTTTGGTACAGCTAAAGGAAAAGTTTCTTAAAAGAAGTTGCTTTGATCCAATGAACCTTTTTTAAAAAGTTATGAGCATATTTAAAAATAACAACTATTCATTAGCTGTTTTCCTTGTTTTGGTCAAAGTAAGATTTATTGCTTTATAAAATCAACTACTTTGTTGGTAATATTTACTTTTGGATAAAATTTGAAAGAATTAGTGGCAACATAAACTTATGAAGTGGGAGCTTACCATGGATTTCATTTCTGTAACTGAAAATTCATGTGTTCTATTGATTATATGTCAAGTAATCATATCACTTTATCAAGTATGCATATCACTTCATAGGTTTACTAACCCAGTAGGTTCCCAGGTGCCATTTTAATTGAATTTTGTTTTTTGAAAAAAGCAACAAATAAATCTATTAGCAAACACTAATTTGCTAATAGCAAAACCAGACTTCAAGAAAGAATTAAAACCAAAGCTTGAGAGACTCCAAGAGAAAAAGCTAAGGGACCATAGTTTACTTCTTTGCATGTACCACCAATTCCTTTTCATAAAAATGATCATTTCAAAACAGTTATTTGGAACCCTGAAAGTAATTTGCGAGAATCTAAAAATTGCTGTGTCTTATTATTTTCAAGAAGCATCATGATATCACCATATCCACTAGTCTACCTGGGTTTTGACCTGTGCATTGTTTCTCTCACTGCATGGTTGAAAGATCTTTAATTGCAGCAAGCCTCAATACAACAGATTGGTATGGTTGTCCTGCTTGTGGTACATTGCACATGCATTATGCTATAGTACCTGGAAACAAGAAATGATGCTTTTGGAGAAGAGCACCAATCATTGTTTTATAAAAAAATGTAGAAAATTCTGGAAGTGGATTTCCCATTGGGACAAGGAATTGCTAGTGCAGTCAAAATAACTTCCAATAACTGGCTAAAACTAGAAAGAATAGGCAGCCAATTTCTATACAAAACTGATGACGGAATGCACTTAAAACAATCATTGGCCTTAGCCTAAACAGAAGACAAAGAACAGATATCCCACAAAATCATTAGATGAAGTGTAATTCCAAAAAATTCTTGCATTACTCTAGCCAAATCACCCACATGCTGGAAAAGTTTGCTTCACAGAGAAGGAACTTGACCTCCCTCTTCATGATCGGACCCAATAGAATGAAAGAGAGAAAGCATTGTGTTCTAAGGGGGAACTCTGGAAACCCCAAAGGTTTCAAAAACTTGATTCCATATTTTCAAATTCCCGTCAGAATGCAAACACGGGTGTTGATGAGTCTCGACATATATATTATACATCACAGAAACTCCAAGTGACAAGGTGCAATCTCTACGAACTTGGATCATATATGATTAGTATTAAGCCTACCGAAAACCGTAGTCAAAATAAAAACTTTTACATTGAATAAATCCATTGCCTTCCATAAAGACTTACTAAGGAAACATTCTGAGTAACTGGGTTGTGAATCAGGAACTCTAGATAAGGCTTACATGAGTGTGAACCTGGGATTTCAAGGACTAAATTCTATGATCTGTCTTGTTTGATAGCATGACAGAATCCAAAAGTTGAAGAATATTGGTGATTTCCACGCTTCCCTATCATTGAGATTTCTGAAAAAAGAGAAGTTAAAATAATGGGTGCCACTAGGCCCAACCAAAAAAGAGGAAATGGGGGAATGCTTTTTTTTTTTTTCTTATGTGTTGGATAGTCTATAGAGTCTGGGGAAACAGGAGGCCATGGAAGCATTATCAATCCAAGGTCCTCTCAAAATAGAAAACATGAATCGTCTCCTAGCCTCAAATGAGTTAGTGGTAAAGAGGAAGCATAAGGACTCTAAATAGCCTTCTAAGGAATCTCTTTTGTACTCGAGACATTGGCCTCAGAATCCAATCGATTCTAGTGAAGACCAAATTTTAATGGCCCTATGCTAAAGAAAAATTGGTTCCAAGGGTAACCATTTAGTTAAAAGATAGATTTTTGTAATGAAGATACCCAATGCTAAGGCTATCACTTTTTTTCCTGGGGCAGAACCTCTCCAAACGAACAAACAATCACCTCTTGGATTCACTTGATCCCAACCAAAGGAAAGATTTCATCACTCCCTCAATTCTATCGTCTTTATTTCTATGGATTTTGAAAAGAGAGATGAAATAAAGGGCAATCTTGGACAAGCATGACTAAATATCCTCCCCATTGGAAAAACAAGGGCCCCTTCCAGCTATCAAGATACTTAGAGACCTTACAAATAATGAGGTCCCCAAATGAAGCAACCCTAGGATTTTTTCCCCAAGGAAACACTGAGGTAATAAAAGGCCAAACAAGAACCTCGCAGCCCACAGAATCAGCTAAATCCCTCATGTTTTGATTCTGAATGTTGATATCCGCCAGCACACTTTTCCTGAGGTTAATCCATAGTCCTAAATAGCCTTGAGAAGGTGCAAGATGGTAAAATCTAACTGGATAATTGTTTTAGTTTGTAACATACTTTTCAGAAATTCATCAGAAATAAGTATCAGGAAACATTCTGTTCTATAATTCAGAATCTTCAGGTGACTAACTTAAATTGGCATGTGATAACTTTTTGCTTGTTGAGTATATAATATTTGTTGACGCTGTGGAATAGTGGGAGTTCCAGTACTCGGTTTACTTGGACCTGTTGTGCGTGTGCATTTATCTTGGCATGCATGACGAAAACATTATGAAGTTATTTGAAATCTTCAAAAATTATTCTCTTGAAGAATAAAATCTAACTGGATGATTGTTTTTGTTCATACCATACTGGCTTAATGTATGGATATTAGTACCCACACTTGAAGGGTGTATTTTGATGTCACAGGCTGAATCAGGTTCAGCAAGGGATGCGCACAAAAGAAGAAGCAATCTTGAATCTCTATTTTGTTATGATAAGCCCATACCAGAGGAGAGAATTGAGAAGCCAGTTGGACTATCACTAGTGGAAAAGGCAATTGGGGACAACCCCCATTGTATTGATTGTGAAGCCAAAGGTGCAGTCCTATGTGCCACTTGTTCTGGTTCAGGCCTTTACGTGGACTCTATCTTGAGAGTCAAGGCATCATTGTCAAAGTCCGTTGCCTAGTAAGTTTCTGTTGC